CGCGGCGGCCCCATGGGCGGGGGCCGGCCCGGAAGGGCGGCGCCTGCGGGGAGCGGGAGTTCGCCCCGCTCTGGAACTACCACTCCCAGGAGGCGCCGCGCGCGGCCTCTCCCCGCCCTCCCTCCCTCCCACCCTTTAGTTGAGGTGGGCGGGCAGAGCGGGAACTACGACTCCCAGCGGGCGCCGCGGGTCGAGCCCGGGGACGGGGCGTGAGGGGGGACACAATCCTCTCCCGCGCTGCGGAGGATGGAGGACAAGGCCGGCGGCAGCGTCGCACCGCAGCTGGACAAGCTCACGCTGGGCGTCACCCGCGTCCTGGGTGAGTTGGCGGGGGCTCTCCGTTGGTATAGCAACAGCCCTGGGGCCTGGGGACACCAGTAGCCCTGCGGCGTCAGCATGGCAACAACCCCGGGGCCTTAGCAACAACCCTGGAATCTTAGTACACCAGTAGCCCTGGGGTGTCGGCATGGCAACAGCCCCGGGGTCTTGATACATCAGTAGCCCTGTGGCATTGGCATGGCAACAACCCCGGGGCGTCGGCTTAGCAACAGCCCTGGAACCTTGGTACACCAGTAGTCCTGGGGTGTCGGCATGGCAACAGCCCTGGGGTCTTGATACATCAGTAGCCCTGTGGCATCAGCATGGCAACAGCCCTGGGGCGTTGCCATGGCAGCAGCTGCCACACCCCTGGCCAGCCCCCCTCATCTTGTGGGACAACCCAGAGGTCTGGTCTCCATAGCAACCAGGAGGTGCTGGTCGCCATGGTGACGTGTGGTGCCCCAGAGAGCTGGTAGGAGCATCCCCCTCCTCCCCCATCCCCTCCTCCGGGCCCCAGTGACAGAGCAGCGCCCCGTCTTTGCGGCTGCGGAGAAAAACCCTAAATACACCCCCACGCGGTGGTGCGCAACCTTGTCTGACTGTAGGCCTGCCTCGGAAAACACCGGCTCTTTGTTTTCACCCTGTTTGTTGACTGTAGAAAAAGCTATATGGATTTATATAGCTGTATATCCATAGATCTATACATTATATCTAGATATAGATATATATAGAGAGAGAGATCTATAGATCGAGCTGAGGTTTTGTATCAGGTCTGTAGCGTCAGACTCTTGATCTTAAGTTTCTAAAGGCAGAAAACCGCCGCGTCCTTGCTGGCTTGTAAAGCTATACACTTAGTGCTGTACAGGGCTAAATTATTTCGAGAGACATAGTTAGCCATGTTAATCTGAAGTCAAATTAAGCTTCAGCTCGTGTAAGCTGTGCAATAGACACACGTACATAGGTGCATGCATACTTTGGTTAGTCTGTAAGGTACAAATCTTCCCTGCCTCCCATCTATGTTATGTTGGGCAAAGTTAGCATCCCAGCTCCCAAGACTCAGAAACTTCTCTGCATTTTAAAGCCAAAAGAGACTGTTGTCATCTAGTCTGACTGTTTATAGACCAAAGAATTTCACCCCGTCACTTGCATGCAGGATTTCACCTGGATGCTGATATAACCGGCTGTACATGTACTGATTAGACCCAGACCCTTGAAGTGAAATCCTGGCCTTAGTGAAGTCAGTGGCAAAACTCGCCTTTCCTTCAATGTGACCAGGTTTTAAACTCCGGTTCTGTTCTCAGTTCTGTTATATGGGGTCACTTGGTGATTCCAGACAAGTACATTTGTCTGGGCCCTAGTTTTTCTATGTACAAAATTGGGATAGCAGCATATCTCTACTCTGCAAAGGCATTAAGAGCAGGGATGTTTAATTCATCAGGTTTAAGAGGATTAATCTCCTAATGACTGAACGGCATGGAAAATGCTTGTTTAGATAGTACGTATCAAAACTTTATAAACTATTCACCTCTAAAATGTTGTATGGTTCCAATACTTGTACAACTTCGTAAACTCAGGGAATACATTTTCCCATATTTTTCGTCCCTTTGTTACTTTGGTGTAGTATTTCTTGTAACATGCAGCATAGTGCTACTTGCCGTGTTTTAACGTGGTTCCTTTCCATATTTCCAAACCTAGGAATTTCACAAATCTCTGCCAGATAAATCGATCGAGGCAGATAGCAGGCTAATAGAGTGTATTCCAGTTATAGGCATACCATCTGAGTATGTAATTTTCTTAATTGCATAACGCAATGCCAGTCCTATTTGGTTGCCTGTTTGCTAACAAACATCAGTGATTTGCATACTGGATAACTGCATAAACCACTTAAGTGCATGACATCCTTCTGCGCTGCTGCGTACTGTGTAACTTAATCATACACCAGTTAACTGCTTGCTGACTGTGTCTATGACTGCTTTGTAGGTGATGGTACTCCCTTTAACCACACCACAAACAGGTTAGGGGGAAGCTGTCCTCAAAGTGCTACTATAGAAGCCTCGAACATGAGGGGCACTAGTGAGTTTAAGGGCAGCTGATAGCACAGCACTGACAGAGCTGTCATTGTTGCTCATTAAGCCACAGAACTGTGAATTCTGGGGGCCCCAAAACTGACTAGCTCCCCTCCAGACTCTAACAGCAACTCCAAAAGTGACTAGGGAAAGCCTTGCAAATGAAGAGACTTCACCAGTTTTGGACAGGGTGGATAAAAATCAACTATTTTTAAAAAAAATCAAAAAATTAGATTTTTTTTTTTATTTAAATTGGATTTTTTTTATTTAATCGTATTTTTTGTTAAGATGCTTTTAAAAAAAAAACAACTATATAAAGATAGTTTTAATTTAAGATATGTTAAAGCTTGAAGATATCATCATGGAACAGGGTTTATAACTTCTAATTATATACTGTTTGAGATAATATATTCTTATAACCTTTTTAGAAAAGTTTTATAACTAGGTCACAACAGGCCATGGACTATATTTAGGGGCCCAATTTTATGGGGTTTCCAGAGGCTTCTCTATAGATTAGTAAAGATTAAAGAAAACCACTCCGCCCAATGGGACTCAGTGCTCAGTTTAGAAGATCCCATTAAGCATCTCCGTGATGCTTGGTTTCTGTTCTCAAACTGAGGATTTGTGTCTCCAGAGATCACATCCTTGTTAACAGCAGGATATGGGGATGAGAGAGAACAGACCTGATTACCCACCCATCAGCCCTCTTTTCTCTCTGCAAGCCCTTACCTCTCTCTAAAAATGTAAAGTTTCAAGGAGTTAAATAAATAAAGGATATCAAACAACAAGAATGCACTTTTTGTAGAAAACAGTGACTAAATCAAAGCTTCCTGGCTGGTGATTTGAATCACAATTGAACTCATGATTTAAATCAAATCCCCCCTGTTTTTGCAGTTGCCAGTCACTGATGCCTGTAAATGATGGGCATTAGGCTTACAGGAGTGCATATTCTGGGTAAATGCGTAGTAGCCCTTCTTTAGTTCCGAGGCTATGTGTTTAAACAGAGTACGCTATATTTTATTACACCAACATCTGAATCAAACTTGCTGAACTCTCAAACTAGAACAGAGTGAGGAAGACCAGATGTTGTTCTTATGGGATATCTATAGGCTTTGCATCCTTCTTTTTGATGGCAAAGAAGATCTCTTAAAGGTGCAACCAGTAAAACTTGTCTTGCTATTAGTTCAGCTGCTTTCTCTGGGATGACTCACAAAACCTAGAGACCCTTTTCTTCATCCCATGGCATAAAAGCAGGCACGAGCCTTTTAACTCTATCGATTTAGTGGAATGCTTTTACTGGTAGGAGGATGGTCGTACATTCAAATTTGGCATGTCCCTTTTCAACCGGTTCATTCCACACAATAAGTGGTAGTTTACGGCCCCATTTGCCAAATGCATATGTGGGTGAACGCGGTCCTCCCTTTACAAATCCTCTTCCTCTTTGTGCCCCACATTCAGAATTTTTCAAGTTCCCATCTCTATGGAAACTGGGAGGAGGCAGTGAGTATCACAGAACGTATAGAGGCTATAATTTGAAGACGAGGAAATTACACAGCTTTTGTTCAGGGCGTGCTTTATCCTGCAGAAACTCTGACTAACAACGATGCCCAAGAAGTGAAAAATTGATTCTTCAGTCCTGAATTTAGCTGACAGGCGCTGGCTGTTAAAATACGTGGCATTTCGTGTTGTCATTTTCCCAGTCTCGTTTCGGAGCAGATGTGTTCTGATCTCACAGGGTATTGAAGAGCACAAGTGTTCACCTTCCCGGGACGGCAGTGACTGGACCAGAGTCAAAAGGAACCGCAGCAGCGGAGCAAGAAGCATAACGTTGGCGTTCTCAACTCCCAGCCTCATGCATGGATCCTTCGGTCGTATCTCTCTTAAAGTTTCCTAAAGTGCAGTGGGAAACATTCAGATGAAAGGTGTGAAGTATATGCAAGAGATTATTGTGACTGTGATTCTGAATATTGAAGTGGGCGAATTCTCCTCTTGAATTTGTTCAGCTTTATTCCATATCTTTCGTTGAGACTGGCTAGCCTCTTGATTTCTTCCATGGGGATTCAGAAAAGGTGCCCGTGGCACATTTCTTCTTCTTCCGCTTCATGTGTAATGGCACTTCCATCCATACTCATGAAGGACTGTTAGGCGTGATCTTCAATTTACCCACAGGATATTTTTAATATAACATTCAGGCTTTTAAGATAGAGTTTCTCTTTTGATCTTGGATTTGGTTCAGACCCCTTTAGAACTTACAGTTCGTTCGTCCCCTTGACACCTTCCTATGACTGATACAATATTAAATCTTCCGCTATCCCAGCTGAGCTTTTGTACCTGATGAATTAAACATCCCTGCTGTTTTCTTTGATCATAGAAATAACAATTATTCTGTTATTATCTGTTAGCTTGACTCACGTAATTTAGTAAAGGGAAAGATCCCCGAGAGCATTGCTTCTACCCTCTTCCTCAAATGCAGAATAGAGCCCCCAGTATGGAGGACATATATTTTAGCACAGCCAAAATCCCTCCGTCCCTCGATCATTTAAAATGAAACCACACAAAGCATTGGAAAATCTTCCATAGGCAGGATTCCTATGTATGCTGGAGGAAATGAACTCGATGACCTAATAGGATTTTTCCATCTTTAACTTCAGAGACTGAAATGCTCTGAAAATAATGTCGCGGGGGGGAGGAGAATCAGTTTCCGTATATATTTTCTGCACAACTGATACTATTGTGAATGATGCATTCGTGAACCTTAGATTAGAGCAGTGGTTCTCAAGCTTTTTCGGCTCAAGGCACCCCTGATAAAGTGAAGAGACCCCTCAGACTCAAGGCACCCTTGGGAAAATGTCAGCTGTTAGTTTTCATTTGAGTTTTGACTTCAAAAAGACAATAGAGGAATTTCTTCTGTTCAAAGAACTGTGGCACCCCTGGAGGGATCTCAGGGCACCCCAGGGTGCCACAGCTGCCTAGTTGAGAATCACTTGATTAGAGTTATTGACAGTGTTGCATTTTACCTTTGAAAGCTAGTAAATTTAGTAATTTTTTATTTTTTTTTTAAATAAAATCTCGGGTTAGCCTTTGTAAAGACGATGTCTTGCATGCGCACTGACGGGAAGAAGAACGCCGCTTGCTGTATCTTCGACGCCACTTCCTGTGGATGGTCATTACATAAAGCAAGTCTTTCTGCAGGTCAGGGCTGCCCCTGCTTAGCTTGCCAAATTGAATCGCAGCCCTTAGCATTACATCTGCCAGCTACTAACAAGCCTTTTTCTTTCACAGAAACTTCTCCTGGCGTGGCTGAGGTGACACTTGTGGAAAAGGAGCCAGCTGAACGCCACACCATCATCTCATGGGAGCAAGTGAGTTCTTTCATTACAGCA